GAAAATTTTAAATATTTTTAATTAATGAATTTAATTTATTATCAATATTTTTTAAAAATTAAATTAGAGATCTGATCATGAGGGTTTTATTTTTTATGGATTAAGGGTTTAATTATGAGTAATTAGAGATCGTATGTGAATTTTTAGGATTTTATATGAGTTAATTATTAATTAATTAAGAAAAAGGGTTAATTTTAGGGGGGGTTTGGGTTTCCTAGTTGGTGGACTAAATGGACACCAATTCTAATGAAACTTGGGTCATGAGATCACTTGATCTTAAGGACCAAGCCCACTGAATTTGGGCCTAGATGGATGCCCTAAGGTGGTTAACCAAACCACCAAATGTAACCACTAGGTTACCTTAGAAAATTCCTGAGTCACTACCTAGGGCAAGAGATGGGGCGCAATAAGTGGCTCTAAACTCCTTATCCTAAGCATGATCACGACATAAACACTCAAACCCTATATATTATTAGATAGGTGAATATGTTGATTTGAAATTAAGGGTAAAATCATGACCTTTAAGCCCAAATCAACCTTATGGCCCTTAATCAAATCAAACATGGAAGAAAAATTTTAGAAATGTCAACGATATGCCCAAAATCAATCCCCCAATATTCCAATTCCGGATGAGTTGTTCTAATGCCACAATTATAAAAATACCCCTAGTATTCTAACTATTATAATTTAAGTTTCATGCATGCTCAAGTATTAAAATCATAGGGCTTTGATAGGTCTCCTCAAGACATTTCCAATGAGCCTAAGAACACCTAAATAACATAAGGAGATATGATTTATTGAAGTTTCATGCAATTTATTGTAAAATTAAATTCAAATATACACAGTCAACTTGCACTTTAAATGTGGGTGCCATCCGATTGGCTAGCTAATCATTATGGATGATTGTGTAAATGTGTAATTGATTATAGCCATTGCATCATCGATAGAGCGGCCATAATTAAGTGGAGTCTAGAACTACGAGATATAATTTGAACTATAGATTAAAATCAATGGTTAGGATTACGTCTTCAACCTCCCGTACAGACCAGAAGCTATTTAGGTTCTCTGATATGATCTGAGAGATCCCGTAGGTGAACTCTCATAAAATTTTACAATAAGGATCAAGACAATGAGGACTTTCAATCCAACTATGGGATTACATTGGATTGAAAGTTCCTTTCACACTTGACCAACACAACCTAGCTAGGAGCTCGGGAAGGAATTCTCATAGTGTAGAAAGCCCCAACGAATGGATTTTTCCATCTAAAAGCTTGAGGGGATGATGGCAAAGACTACTCCTTCAAACGTCTTGGTGAGAAGACCACCAGAAGTTTGACTTCAAGCAGAGGGTGAAGAGCTTTCACCATAGTTTCGCTCGAATGGAAGGTTGTAAGAGTCTGGGAGGCTTGGGAACAATAGAGGAATGCTCATGGAACTATGGGAGAGTTTTTTGAAAGCTTGGGAGTGAATGGGGACATCTGGGTCGAAACACCCTTTTCAAGCTTTGCCCGTGAGCTTGGATGGTCAAGATTGATCAAGCCAACCGTTGGATGGCTGCCAATTGGGAGGGGACAACCTAAGTCAACCTCTTAAGCTCAAAAGGAGCAAATTCAGACCTTGGAGAAGGTTATTTCTAAGGCTTGTGAAGAGGGGACCATCAAATCTAATTTTGATTTGCTTCGTTCGCAGCCAGCCACTAACCAGGTTAGGCTGAGGTGGAAATGTCGTTGGGGTATAGTGAGGTTGAGAGTGAGTTCAATTGGGAAGGAGGCAACCCAATTCAATGGGTAGGCTCGGGATGACCCAAACCTATACATTTTGGGTTAACTTGGGTGCAACATGGGTTGAGTCAAGTTATGGGATTGATGGAGAAGATGTGTTTGGTCGAGGGGCACCCGATGTAAGTGTCAATTGGATCTGGTTCTACCTAGGGAAGGAATATGTTAGGGTCAAAGTGGTTTTGACCACTTTGGGTTAGCCTAAAGGTTGACCCAGGTCAACCCAAGGGTGGGGCTAACTAGGGTAGGTGTGTTGGACCTAGTGTCATATAATGGAGGTGTTGATTTTGTTTGGTGAGGCCTAGGTTGGGAAATAGCTCAACCCATAGTGGTTTAGACCACTTTGGGTTAGCATAATTCCTAACCCAAGTTGACCAAGGGCTGGGTCAACTAAGAAAAGGTGTTGAGTCATGGGGGACCCAATGCCACCATTGGTTTGATCCAATTGGCTTAGAATTGGATTTTACTCAAGGGGAAGCCCTGTTTGGACACTTGGGTCTGACCAAATGGCTAACCCAAGTGGGCCCAAGTATTGGGTCCTCAAGAGGGGTCTCCTAGGAACCTAATGGGTCACCCCATGGGTTTGGGTAGGCTTGGCAAGGCCTTGGTTAAGGGATTTGAATGGGTTGAAGATATATGTGTATTTGCTCAAACTTGGTTGACTTGGTCAACCAAGTTGACCTATGGTCAAGGGTTGCATCCATTGAGTTCAAGTTGACCACATGAACTCAATGGAAGTGGTTTCAAATTAAGAGGAGGTCATTTGGTTTAAAATGGTGTTTAAACCCTGAGAGCCACTTTAGGAACCCATGGTTGACTTGGTCAACCAGATCAAACCAAAGGGTGAGTTAGATTCCAATGTGTTCTTAATGATATTTAGGATCCATTGGGATAGGTTTTGAAGGTTGATTGGGTTGAACTATGTTGTGTTTTGGGGAAAAGACCAAAAATCCCTTAAAAAGATATTTTTGTCATTTTGACCCTTAGTCAACTCTAGGTCAAATCATATCCAATAAAATGTTGATTACTAATCAATAAGTCTTGAAAAAGGCCTCGGATATGGTTAGAATGTTTGGAAAGAGTCCCAAGGCTAAATTCCATTGAATGGCAAGTCTAGTGGCGTAGTCTATAAATATTTGAAGGTTTTATAGCCTTTAAAAATCAATTCAGTTTTTGGGGCTAGGGATCTCATAGTGAGCTCAAATTTGATGGGTTGGTCTTAGAGACATGTCTAAATAATATGCAATTAATAGATCTCAAATCATAGGTCATTAGATTGAGTTTCAAGGTGACAAAAAAATATCCCAGAAAGGGTTTTAGGATCTAGGTCCTTAACCTTAGGATTTGGTTTGGAAACTTGGATTTGGATTGGATTTTGGAATTGAATGGTTGAGTTTAAATTATCCACATCAATGATAATCAAATGAATAATTGAGATTGATTTGATATGATTTGAAAGTTGGTGGAAGGATGGACTAGAGATTGAATTGAAGGGTGGAATTGGATTTGATTAGACTTGGATTTGGTTTTGATTGGGACCTATATGATTGAGAAGTGGATACCTTCCAATCATTAGGTCACCAGAAAGAAACCCAGGTATGTCCTAGTGACCTCATACAGATATAAGGTTAACAAGAATTATAAAACTCCTTTTGGAATTTTTGTGCAATCAATTTTAACTTAACACTTACATTTTCAAATTTAACTTATCTGACAACTTTATTGTGATTTGCAAGAATCTAAAATATTTCTATATAATTCCCTTAGTTTTCTGAACTAGATAATTTATCATGCTCATGAAACAATAGCCCTTGGAGAATAAGAAATCAAACATAGTCAACATTTGCAATTAATATGATGTGATATTCTTTTTTAATTTTCTCTTTCTTGCTCAACCATAAAGCATGAATACTCTGCTCTCGAAGCTTTATTGAAGCCTCACATTTTTGTCTTGCCTTGTTTTTTACACTATTGTGTTCGAATCTTCTCTTTTATCTTCCAATTCTTAAATCCTTCACCAACAAATGTATCTCCACCGCCTTAACAAGTACTAACTTGCTCTTGAGGCTTAAATAAATAGCAATAAAGACAAATTATATTTTTTTATACAATATATTTTATCCAATTAGGAAAATTTTTAAACTATTTTGAGTAAAATCTATGTGCAATATTTCCTATCAATGTTTGAGGGGAATGTTAATTTTTTGGTTGATGCAATCCCTTAAATAAATAAGGTCTACAAAATTTATCCCTCTCAATCACATTATAACTTCAGATTGATGGTCGAAGACCAAGATAAACATAGATATTATTAATATCAATCTCAACATATTTTTTCCTCTTCAAGAATCAATCCATTTGTCAAAAGCATAATAATTATATATCGAATGAGAAAATTCTTTAAACATTTAATACGATCTTAGCAAAATAAAACACTAAAATTAGAAATCAAACACAATATCTCACAACATTAATATAAGAACAAAATTTTTATCATATATTACAATTAAGATTATTGATAGGCAATTTCACATAAAACCTGAAAACTAGAGCAATTCCACCATGCAAAGATCATGCATTCAGTTGTATTCTCATGATCTTATCTCACTTTTTTAAAAGTTTCTATTGATGAACCATTGAATGAATTTTCCAGAATTGGTGGTTTCATATAATCTCAGAAAAAAAACAATTCAACTTTTGATTACAATCTAACACAAATCAATTTTGTTTCTCTTCAACTATAATACTGATCGAGAAGTGGAAAAAGGATTCAAATCCAAGCCATACTGAATACATACAAGGATGGAAGAAAACCACTCAATTGAAGTCCTCAATAGGAAAATAGCGGGCATAAAAAAAAGAAGGAAAATTTACATATATACCAATATATAGTTATCATTTTACATATATAACACCTCTTTTATTAAAATTACACTTATACCACTTAAATCCCTATTTCACAACATTTCTACCACTTCGTCTCCACGCACGCTAACGACGTCGTCTCCATGGTTCGGCAGCCGCCTACCGCCGTCGCTTGCCATCCACGACCTTGGTTTCACGTCTATCTAAGGGGAGATACCTTACCCTCCCGACAGAGCCACTGGCCTCACGGTGCTCTCCCTCGCGGAAAACTAGGTCACCAGCAGCATCCCTCCCTCACTAGGCAGGTTGAGAAATCTCTCATTTCTTGATCTTTTCTAGAACTTGCTCTCTGGCGACATGCCCGTAGAGTTTTCAAGCATCGAAAACGTCACTTACCTTGACCTTTCCTCTAATTTTATCACCGTAGTAGTACTGTCGGAGATCGGAGACTTGTCAAACTTGGAAACCTTGATTCTTGCTAATAATAGCTTCATTGGCTCCATCCCTCAGGAACTAGGGAATGTCTCTTCTCTCTTTACATTTGATCTCAGCTTCAATTCCCTATTCGGTGTGTTACCTGATAGCTTGAGTAATCTTAGAAATTTGTGACATCTTGGGGAGCAACTTACTCAGTGGATTTCTAAGTTTGGATATTTTCTCTGGTTTGTCAGTGCTTGAGTTGATCACATTGAGCCGAAAAAACTTCTCCGGTGAGCTTCCGGATTCATTGTGGCCACTCTCGAAGTTGCGATTCCTTGATATCTCCTACAATAACTTCACGGACAATCTGCCGGAGCTCTCCTCTACCATGAACCATGAAATACGACGTCGTTAGTGTGCTTGGAGAGAGAGTGGTAGAAATGTTGTGAAATAGAGATTTGAGTGGTATAAGTGTAATATTAATAAAGGAGGTGTTAGATATGTAAAATGATAACTATATAGTGGTATGCATGGGCGGAGGGGGGGGGGGCAAGGGGGGGCACGAGGGGGGGGGGGGGGGGGGGCAAGGGGGGGCACGTATTTAGTTAATATATTAAACATGTTCTAGCAGAAATCGAGTGATTTGATTATTGAAGTCATTTTGTGAAAGAAGAAAATAAACTAATTCATAACTAAAGTTTTATCATTTTTAATACTGATTATATTGGTCCTAAGCCAAGATGTAAAAATTTGAAGGAAAAAAAAATTTAGGCCCCCCTAGATATATGTTCTGGCTCCACCACTGGTGGTATGTATGTAAATTTCCCAAAAAAGAATATGCAACATTAACTATATCCAACATATCAGGAGTAGAAGAAAATTGATAAGAGGATGTTGGTGAAAATTGCAATATATGTGAAACAAATTTCCTAGTTATAGCTGCATATAGTGATAGAAAAATATTAACATTAGAAAAAAAGCTGAAATCAACTACAATTCCAGTATTAAATATGGATTTAGACATTTTAGAATTTTAGGAATTCAACATTTGATATTCGTTAAATAAATTTAAGTATAAATGCTAAATTTCTTATGCAATAATTCATGAACAATCATTAGCAGCTTTATCACGCTAATGCAACTTATATCTTTGATATCTACTATCAGTAGTAGACAATGCCCTCATTAAGAATAGCATTTGTAGGAATATGAGTAAATTTGTTATATTTGTATAAGAATTCACAAAGAGATAGAATGGTAGCATTCACTAGGTAAAGTTAAATCATATGCACTTAAGACTAGACTACTAGTCTACTACTATAACTTACCTTCAATACAAGAACCGGCAAGAACACCGAAGGATGCAACTGCAATGACAAAGGCTACAAAAATGGCGACCTCTTTAAACCAGCAATAATGCTGAAGAGCCGAAGGCTGCGACTGTGAAGATGAAGACCGCTAGAACGGTGATCTCTTCAATGCCGAAGGTTGAGACTGTGAATACATGATTTGTGAATGCCAAAGGTCGTGAATTGCGAAGTGCAAAGCAGTTTAGATGGGTAGGCACGTGCGGGATTGGTCATATTAGGGAAATCATTATTTTTTAGTGGCACAAAATTCCAAAACTACCCTTCCTATACATTACTTTTTTTTAGGGTGGGCATTACATGAGCGGGGATCCACGAATGGTGTGAAATATGTGTATGTAAGAAAGACTAGTAAAAAATGACTGACTAATTCAAATTAGATGGTGATATATTACTCTATATATGTGGGTGGGCCGATAAGCTTTCTTTTAAATAAAATTTGTGATGTAATCTTAAATGATATTAATTGAAGTCATAAGAAGACAGATTGATATGATATGATACACCGACGGGCAAAAAGTGACGTCTTCTAATATGAAAGCCACTTGAGCTAAATGACTTGTGATATGACTCATTTTTTGAAATAGGATTGATATAGTTGATTATAGAGTTGGCCCACAATACTAAATATAGAAAAAATCATATACAACTTGATGTCTTTTCTTGCTTATAGTGCTTGCATATGCATATGACAGATTTTTTTTTTTTAATAAATTACATAATTTACTTAAGATATATGCTATGACTAATATAATCATTTGATAAAATTTATACAAATACATTTGATATATATGAATCACAAGATTTATATGATATACATGCATAGCATAAACTAGTTACTACCATGGAGACACATAAGAAGATCCCCATAATATGATCAAACAAATCATCAATGTTTAGCAAATGATTCTTATTCTTAATCTTCATCTTTGTTCAATTCTCTATAATCAATGCACATACGTCTAATACCATTCTTCTTTTTTACAAACAAACCAAGTGCTACCACAGGGACACACTAAGATGGACAAATCTTTGTTAACCAACTCCATAAGTTGCACCTTTAATTGTTAAAGCAATACATACTCAACCAATCTATACCCAGAATAACATTAAACTAAGATATATATATAATATTATAAGACTATATCTCCATTTTCTATCAAATATCTCTAAGTCAGAAAATAAAATTGAATTAGTTATCATACTATGCCCCACAGGCAGAGTAATAGATAATGAAATAAGTAACATTATAGAAAATAAATATAATATGTCAAAGTACCTATCAAAATGAATAAGTGACTATCTCTAAAATCAAATAAAATGAGATAAGATATCTTAGAAAAAATTCATACTTATAACCATATCTGGAGCATCTCTAGCTTTATACTAAGTCAAAATATACACGTATGCTTGAAGAAGAACCACAGCAAAAAACTGCTAGGCTACCTCTGAGCACTACCAAATGATCTCCCTTCTAATTTCCACTAGTTCTACAAGAAGATCCCTCAATAATTACATATAGAAGAATTATCCTTAGTCTCCTAATTGATCTAACAAAACTCTCAACTTGGGATTTAAAATGTCTACTCGGTCTTGCATGCAGGCACTTAACTACCTAATTTTTGTTAATAATGGAAGCACTAATCTCCTTATATGATATCTTACCTAGGGGTGTCAATATTTGACACGACACGAAAACCCGACCCGGACCCAACCCGAAAAATCCGGGTTGGACCCGACCCGGTTTCAAAACGGGTCGGGTTCGGGTTCCAGAAATCAACCCGTTTGAAAAATGGGTCGGGTTCGGGTTGACCCGGCGGGTTGCCGGGTCAACCCGCGAACCCGGTTTAGCCTAACCCCCGGCAGCTACCCGTGACCCCGCGTGAGTCGGCGTGAGTCGCGTGACCCCGCTGGGTAGCGCGACCTAGCGGTCCTAGCCCCGCGCGACGCTCCGCGCGCGACGAACCAGCGCGAACCCGCTGCGTCTGCGACCGCTCCGCGTGCGACGCACCAGCCTCGCGACCTCCCCGCGCGCGACGAACCCGCTGCGACTGCTCTTAGCGCGACGACCGCCCCGCGCGCGACAAACCTGCATGACGACCCCGCACCCCGCTGCGATCGCTCCGCTGCGACGACCCCACGATCAGCTTTTCCGGGTCGGGTCGGGTCAAAAACCCGCCGGGTCGGGTCCGGGTTGGCATTTCCGACCCGTTTACATAACCGGGTCGGGTTAGGGTCGACCCGTTTGAACCCGGGTCAGTTCCGGGTTCGACCCGAACCCAACCCGTGACCCGAAATTGACACCCCTAATCTTACCTTGGATGTCTCCTACGACAACTTTGACACACTAGTGCCCTACTATCACTAAATCTCTGAACATGCAACACCACCAACGCTAGTAACTAATATAGAAGATTCACCTCTCCTAGCATTCCCAGGTTCAAACTTGCTACTCTTTATAAAAAAATCACAACTAGAAGCTGCAACACAAATCCTCTTCTTATTAGTAGCCAACTGCTATTTAGTTTATGTCATATTATTCTTGATTAAATGGGCTCCCTCCACTAGCTCAGAGAAATTAAAAATATTGAATGAAACCAATGATTTCCTTAGACTATCTCGAAGTCCTATTAGAAATCTATAATACTTTTCCTCATAAGAACGGACTAACTGCAGAGCATAGCTGGATAAAGTAATGAACTCTATCTCATACTACATAATAGTCCTACTCCCTTGAACTAGCTTTAGAAATATCTACTACTATGGAGATGGAGGTACAAATCAAGATGTAAAAATAAAAGTGAATTCTTCCCAGCTAATTAAAGAATTCAACCTTACGTAAACCTTTGCCCTATATTGTCCCAACCACTAGTGCTCAACCTCCCTATCCAATTAAATCACAACCAAGTTAGAAAGACACTACATACCATCAAAGTATTCTCTAGCCTCATTTGTCAATCTTCTACTGCTTTGGGCTCAACAAATGCCTAAAACCTTGAAGGATTTAAACTAAAAATTATCTATAAATGCATGTATATATATCATCGAATCTGATATAGAAAATCATGCTCTAAGCCTCATCCATCAACTATGCTATTTGAAATTGGGATATCAAATCATAACAAATAATAAGAATAATACTCTATACTAATACAATCTTACTAACACTCTACCCATCAGTCACATATGGGTCTTACCGATCCATTAGACAATCACAAAGAATACATATAGCTGAATGTCATATGCATATGAAAATAAAATAGAATGAATGCCCAACACTTCCCATTACTATATCACTTAACTACAAACTAATTCCTATAGATTTGCTTATAATCAATTATTGAAAACTACCAGTATGATACTAAAAAGGCCCTATCACAACCCAATCCAATATAACCCACAAGTAGAAAGGGTTATATCGTATTGAATTATGACATACTAAGCCAAACATTTAATTTGGAGAACTTTTTAGAATTCTTTAATTACTAATAGACTGCAGAGCTACAAATTAACTTCTAATAAGAAAAAATACTCATCCATAATTTTTCTTTCTATTCATCTTCAAAATCTATTTATTGTAAAATCTCTATAATATAATGCATGATGTAATAACCTAAAGATATGAAAAAGTATTTTAAAAAAAGAAAATTTCTTATATTAAAAGCTTAATAAGTTTTGGATTTTTTAGGCTCAGTAAGCTCATTATGTGGTTTTATTGATTTCAGGTAAATGAAGGGATTATGACTCTATGAAGTGAGTTGGATTGATCTTCAAGTTTCTTATTTTGTTATTAATTTTTATTTTATTCTTTTATAGTCAAAAGCAATTGATAGAATTATTGAGTGTTAGTGATCTCTTGGCTATTATAAATGTGCTTTGGAGGATAAATATGGTGAAATATTTCAATGCGTATGATATTTAATTACTTTCATTGAATATTGATTTATATTGATGATTTATGAAGTTCTGACAGATAATTTAAAAAGATAAATTAGATAATTCTTCTAATTTAATCTTGAGACATGACACATGGCTATAATAGAAATAAAGCATAATAAAACAGACAATAATCATGACTATATAAAATTGGAAAACTAGAAAATACTTATACATATTTTAAAAATTAGTTCATACAATCTCAGCTACCTGACTAACTCCTTACTCTTGCCCTAACTTGAAATAGAATATATATAATAGGTGTGAATTTACACAACTCGACATATCATAGCCATCTATCAAAGTTTTTGATACTTAATCCAATATTCATTTAACTAAATTAAAAGTATTTATTATGCTATTTTACTTGATAAAATAATACAAATAGATAACTTAAATTAAATAAACTTTGTGTAAAATATAAGTAAATAAATACTTCATATATCATAGTAGAAATCAATAAATTTCTCTCAGACTCTTATACCTTAAAAAAAATAGATATTAGAATTCAGACCCTTCTAACTCCTTGTGATAGCATATAAAAAACAGGCCCTTATGACTAAAAAAATTCTTAACATAATAGATATTTAGAAATAAAGGCACTTATAGCTCCTAGTGCATTACATAATAGAACTTTCTCCAACATCTAGAACACCTCAAAATCACATATTTCAACTTAATAAGCACATATATAATTATATTTTAATAAAATAATAGAAATAATCAAAATATAAAAATTCAAAAATTGCATAACTTGTAGTCATCAGATTCAACAACTGAGTAGAATTTGATGATTTTAGAATTTCATAAATTATGAGGGACTATTCAAAATACAATTTTGAAGTTTTAAATCTATAATAATATTATTTTTTGAGGCCATAATTTTTTTTCAATTTGCTAAAAATAAAATATTTTCTAGTCTACATCCATAAATTTTTTAAAGCAAATAATAAAATGTCTAAAATATTCATATCTACTTTGATATTAAAAACCGAGATATATAGAATATGATCTCTTTTGATCTAGACAACTTTCTAAATTGGGTTGATAGTAGAAAAAAGGACCAAAGTCGCCCAAACCCTAGTTTTCTCACTTTAAAATCCCCCCCTCTCTCTCTCTAAAATGACAACCTAAGAGGGTTTTATTTGTATCAAATGAAGATTTTAGAGAAAATTAATATTTTTATAAAGATTTAACCTAACATTACATTGTTTCAGATGGTGGCAGCATTACACCTCACCCAATTGCCTCCCTCACTTGGTTGCTTGGCCAGAAAAAAAAATTTGGAGGAGGAGAAGAAGAGAAAGGAGAGAGAAAAGTATTTAGGTCATATTTGCCCACCATTTTTGTTACAAATTTTATTTAACTAGTTGTAACTAACTATCTTCTTACTTATTTTTGATGATTTTGATTTCTATGGATTTATCTCTCATAAATTTATAAAAATATATTATGTCATGATTTAATAAGATTTTATTGTATAACTTTTGGTATATTATTGATTTGATCATACTGAATAATATGATATGATTTTATTATATTTTTACGGGATAAATATGTGTATAAGAATTTTTGGGTAAAATGAGTAGGGAAAAAGACATACTAAAAATGGGTTGAAAAGGGCTATACTATGATTTTACATAATAAGACTGCAAGTTAATATGTATTGAAATGGTTGATATGATTGAGTTATGCAAGAATGTATACTACTAGTCTTTTTTTGAAGAAAAGCCAAAGCTAAATTATATTAAAAAAGCAATAAAAGAGAACCTACATTGATGATTCCTCCTTCAAAGTATTGAAGAATGAAGGAGGAACCTTATTAAGAGATAAATCATCCCAACTAAAGCTACCAAATAAAGCATAGTTAGCACATAAGTTTGCTAACTTATTATTCTCACGGCCAATACAATTAAAAATGACAAAATTGAAATTCATAATAAAATCCATATCGACATCCTTATGCCTTCCTTTCTTCCAAGAGCTTTGAAGAAAGGATATGATATTTGCGTTGTCCCCCTCAATAATTAAGCCTTTGTATTTGAACATCAAATCCTTGATTTCATCTTTTAAGGAATGTATGCTTAGCAATTCCAGTTGAGAAATGTCCAAATGAATGCAATATCTTCCATAAGCATATAGAAATCTTCCTTTACGGTCTCTAAAGACTGCTGCAATCCCTGCTTTATATGAGGAGAGTAGGGATGCATCTACATTCACTTTAATCCAATTGGGTGGAGGAGGATGCCAATTATTGGACAGTCTAAACGACTGGTTAACATCCCAAATGCTCAAATTAAAGTGACTAGAACAAAAAGAGATTGAAGCTTGGCATATAGCATTAGAAGCTATATAACTAGAACTTTCTTCCACTCCTTCATGTAAGTATTTGTTTCTACTTTTCCAGTTCAAGAAAACAGAATTGCAATAAAGGTTGACAACCATACCTTTCTTTTTAGAACTAGTATCCAGCCAATTAATGCATTGCTCCAAGTTATCCATAAGTGGGATGCAAAATCCCCAAAGATTTAGATGATGGATAACTTCTTTAAGCTTCAAGCATCCGCATATTATATGTTCCACATCTTCATTTGAATTGCAGCCCCTCGGACAAACATGAATGAGTGCTTCTTATAATGCATGGATATAATGTACTGATTAATATCAAATATATGATATGATAACCTCATTTAATATACGTTAGTGGATGAGAGTTAGAAGGAGTTGGAGATTGATTTGGGGTTATAAAGAGTTCGTTATTGATTCATATGATTCAAGGAGATTTATTAGGAGCACACTTATTGAGAGTCATAAGGGGCGATTGATTGTGAGTTATAAGAGCAGGAGCAAGATACCCTTTTCTGAATATATGAATATTATTATTGATAATTATATTGAATGGATATTAATATTATAAATACTAATCAATATTATTGATTACTATTATTGTTATTATGACTAACCCTGAGAATTTTGATACTGTTAATGATACAGTTCTGTTACTGATACCCAATACTGTTATATATACTATGATTGTAACTAACAGATTATTCGAATTCTGATTCTTTTTATTTTAGTTATTCTTTTTTACTTAAGAGAGAGTAGTTATGACATGATTGTATAGATCTTGAGTATTGTATATAATTTTTTAGAATTGAATATAGATGCATATATTGATGTTTTGATTGCTAGTTTTTTTTTTTTTATGTTGCTATTGATATTAATAAAAGGAATTAAGTGGCTCTAGTTATTACTTTTTAAAAGATAAAAGAATAGTTATTCCAAATTAGATTATGGGGCATCACACTAGCGAGCAGTGGTGGCTGGAGGCCTGTGTAAACGATAATTGGAGGGTGGCAATAGTGGTGGCTAGAGGGTGGCGGCTGTGGTGGCCAGAGGGTGGCGGCGATGGTGGACGGCAAGTGGCGGTGGTGGTGGATAAAGGATGGAGGCGATGGTGGTCTGCGGTGGCGGTGGCTAGAGAGAGGAGTGATGGTGACCTGTTACTTGCGATGGTGGTGGCTGACGACCGATGACAATGGTGGAAGGAGGGTTGCGACGGTGGCTGCTAGTGGGTGTCATTGGTGGCCATCGATGGGTGCAGTGGCCTGTGGTTGTGGCCTAAGGTGGGTGGAGGTGGCTAGTGGCGGTGGTCGGCGACAATTGGTGACGATCAAGTGACCTTACTTGCGATGTAAAACATTATCGCTCAAATTTAGGTGATTTTGATTTATCTAAAAAATGAACTAGAATAATTAACACTATATTTAGTTTACTTTGAATTTCTTTTTCATCCAACCAAATACCAAAATTGTTAAAAACCCCTAAATTTGGAATAATTTACACCCTAAAGTATTCCAACCAAACAATCCCTTAGAAGAACAAGCCCTACCTTCTAGAGCCTCTTACCTTCATATTCACCCGCTCCTCTTAATCCTACCAATCGACCATACTAGTTGTTGCAGACTGCATCTTTATAGTCTTATAGATTTAGTAAAGAGGTTTGCATAAGATTATTTGTATTTTTTCATCCTCTGGTTAAGGGCTTGTTTGACAACAAGTAGGATTTAACTTTAATAGGATTTAATTACTAAATCTGAATTATGTAAATCAATATTTAGTAATCCTGACATTTTAAATCCTAAAAAATTATTTGGCAACATAGTTGTTAAATTTTGTGAAACTGTTTGTCAATATAATTTAGGATTTAAGACAGTTAAAATTAAATTTAATATGGTTTAAATTTAATTTACATTATGAATTACTTATTAATTTTAATTATCATCAATGGTATAATAATATATTTGATATTTAATTATATTAATAATTCTCTAATTAATTAGTTCATTATATTTTGAAATAATTAATTATTTAACAACTAATTTTACAATTAATTTAATTAATTATTTAGTTAGTTTTAATTATAAATTATACTATTATGATATCAGTAATCACTTGTATTCTATTACTCATTGATTATTTAATTATTATTTATACTATTAATTATGTTATTAATAATTTCTATTTTAATTATATTAATTTTTAATTGATAGTTATACTATTAATTATTTAATTAACCTAAATTAGATAATTTATTTTTGCATTAATTATACAACTATTTATTTAATTAATTTACTTAATTATTATTATTATTTTGAATTATATTAATTAAGTTAAATTTGATTAATTTCTTTAAATAGGTTAGAGCGTCTAGGTTTGCTTTTCAGCTACTGTATTTCGTGCTGTTCGACTTCGTTGCTCGTGAGGTGGAGTTCGAGACGAGTTCGGCTCCTTCGTTTCCGTTCGACTCCGCTCCTTCGACGTCCCTTCTTGTCGGATCGGAAGTCACGACATTTTAATCGGAAGCAACTACGGGAGCTCGCTCGCTCGCTGTGTAGGTAACTACCTTTCTCACTTTCGCCGCTAAGTCCCGTAAATCCGCGAAATTTCAGGAATTGCTAAATCCGGAATTTACGGTCCTAAGGAGGAGACGGAGAATTTATTCCGCCGTGGGATTTAGCGGGCGCTAAAGCTCCGTTTGACAGGATTTGGCATAAATCCTGCTCAAAATCGGCATAAATCCTGTTAAATCCTGCATCCAAACAGCCCCTAACTGCTTTGTCCCTATCTTCTTTTTTATTTGCATTACTATGAAGTAACCCTGAAATTGAGAGGCTTCCCGCTACGGCATTAGCATAAGCGAGTTAATTCATCTTAAAAAAAGGATTAAGATTTTGCTCCGTTTAAGGCTTTGTTGAATTAAAAAATTTTATACTCGAACGCTGCTTTAGAAAGCAGTTAGAAATCTGTCCCAAAAGAAGATTCAGTTGTCAATTTTTAGCTTATAAGTGTGCGCATAAAAATTAGGAAATTCTTCTTATACTTCTTTATTTAAATTAGTGTTTCTCCCTTCAAACAGCACCATTAATAGTACTATGTAAGCGTAGAATCTTCTTTTGACTGGAAGTGCATTTGAGATGCCGTTCAATTGAAGATTCATGAACTTTTGTCATTGTACATTGCTGTTATCTTCTTAAAGAAAGGACAACAATTTATTTGTTAAAATCCAGTATAATGTCTCTGTATTGAAATGGTGTCCATATTTGTTAATGAGAGAAAAGAAAAGTATTTTGGAGTTATTGTTTTATTTTTCTTCGAAGATCAAATTTCTTTGGTGGCACTTTAATTAAGTTTTTTATTAAAAAATTTCAGGTTCTGATTTAATGCATACGATCTAAATTCTTGACAGTGACTAATGTTTTAACTAAGGAGCCCTTTTAAGTTTTATTTAAATCATAATTTGTGAACTCTCTTGTACTGAAACTTTGTAGTGTATTTTACTACTCAGTGTTGCAGCGATATTAAGCTTATGTATTGTTGAATTTGTGCTTATAATGTTTACTTCTTTAATCTCCTTGTCCGTAGTACTAACTACGTTTCAGTTTTTGTAATTGTTAGACTTTTGGATTACCATTAGTATTCTTGCTGCTTTATTACAACTAATGGCATATTTAACAAAGTAATATAAAGTGTCTTTTTTTGCCCCCTTCAAAAGAGGCTTATAGAAGCCATTACACAATAGGATTTTATGCGTTTCAGTTTCCTACAAAAATATTGTTGAACTATTTGAGAAACATGTTATAAAATGCTCAAGCAAGGGGTTTTGATATGGTTGAGATAGGCTAATGATTGTGATGGACAAAAGGTGATTCAGAGAAAAATGTTCAAATAATAAGGTTGACTTTTCTTTCTTATTCTACTTCAATTAGCTTATTTAATCTTGTTGATTCAGTAAACTAGCTTGCACAACACATTTGTAATCTTATATTTGTGCTAGATCTTATCAGAACATTTATGCATTTTCAGATGCTACCTATTGAAGCGTTGAGGATTAAAATATAAAACCATCATGTGTGTTCAAACTTTTATAAAAACATGAAGACATAAAACCACCATGTATGTATAAACTCTTATAAAAACATGAAGTATTAGAGCTTCGAATATGCCTCAATTCAGTAGTTGAGTTGCATCATTTGGGGGAAAAATACTAATGTTAAAACTTAAAAATAAAACACTTGTAAATATATTAGATATTTGTTGATTACAAAAGCCCTAGTATGTAAAGACTAATTGATGAAATGAAGATGATGCACGAAAGATCGAAAAACTAAATCACAATCATTATGACAACAACAACATCGAGCCTTTATCCCACTACGTGGGATTGGCTACATGAATCCTTTTTTCTTCGTCATATCCTATTAAGAGTCAAATTCTCATTTAAATCTAATAAAAAAGGTAATTTCTAATGCTTTCTAGCCAAGTCTTTTTAGGTCTACCTCTACCGTTCTTAGCATATGCTAGATCTAATATATCTACTCTTTTAATCAGGTCATTGAAAGATCGATGTTTTATGTGAACAAACTATCTAAGACGATTCTCTCTAATCTTATCTGCCATTGGAGCTACTCCAACCTTCTCACGTATATTCTCGTTTCACATTTTGTCTGTAAGAGCAAAGCCACTCATCCACCTGAGCATCCTCATTTCTACAATGCTAAATTTTATGCTTCTCTTTTAATGGTTGACATTCTATATCATAAAGCATTGCAGGTTTCACCACCATCTTATAGAATTTTCCCTTAAGTTTGAGGGGTACATCCATTGAAAAATTGAAAACACTATAATGAGCTTTCTTGGCAACTAAATATTTTTCAATATGTATAATAAAGTTGTTTTGAAAACTAGTATTTAATTTGCTCAAATGCTCAACACATAATAGAACAAAATCATAGATACTTGGTGAATGCAACAACCACATGCTATTTAATGATTAAATAATGAAGAGGTGGCAAACCAAGGAAAAAATTATAGTCAAATTCTATGGGTTGATTTAAATTTTCAGCTTCAATTTTAGTTTCATTTAAAAATTTACATTAATTTTGCTTCATCCAGATTTAGAGTCATCTATAAGACTATTTATAGTCCATATAGATATTAATTGATTTTTCTATGTCCAAATTCAACTTATTATTGGTAAGAAGCTCATTACTCTTAAATTATTCTATATTTTTATCAAATATCATCATAATCTTGCATAATAAGCATACTTTTATGAGGTTATTTGAAGGCTATATAGCATTGACATCTATAAGAGATAATTTCATTAGTTTATTATCATTTTTTTGCGTTATTGTTTTCTTAGAGGACATAGGTATGTAGAATGAATTGGGGGATAATAAGCTCTTTTAGGTATCCTTAGTCTTTCATTGTCATTTGCCCCTAGCTTGTCGTTCTTTGGATTGGTCTTTCATAGTTGATCATTTTCTAATTGATATTTTTAAAATCATATCATATTCTTATGATCTATGTATTCTTGAAGTTCAATTATAATATTTTAAATAGGTCCCTAATAGAATTTGAAGGATTGATTGTTTGCCCCTCAAGAATTTGGCTATTATGAATGGCCTCCCACTAACTCATTTATTATAGCCCAATAAGTCCTATTATAAGCCAATTATGGGCCAATGGGCTATTACCCTATTATCAAATTGAGAGAATTCAATATAAGTGGTGGTGGTGGATTGGTGGGTGGCCTAAGGTGATGGCCAATGATTGCGGCCTATGAGTGGTAGCGGTGGCAGCCTATGATGGGTGGTGTAGGTAATGGCGGTGGCAGCAGTGATGTTGGTTGATAGCTTATAGCCGATAGCTATGGCTAACTTCATTTTTACCCAAGCTATGTACTTATAAGTTGCTAGAAGTAGTCAAATTCCAAATGCACTCAAAATGAACTAGAGAGTAAATTTCAAATTCATTCCCAAAATAATTTTCATTTGAAGTGCAGCCATCAAACGCTCGAATTTTTGAAACCTCTGTCTCTATGTTTACTTTACACTAAACGTGTTGCCAACTAAACAACCCATTTGAAACACAACTATCCAAATAGATGCTACTATAAAATAAGCAAGTTGAGCAAAAACAAAAAAAAAAAAGGAAAATTAGAAGAATATAAAATAAATATCTTGTATAGAATTGGCTAGTATATGTTATTTTCAAAATTGTGTGATTAAAAATTAATAGAAAATAACCTTGAGAATTCAATAGTTATTTAAAAGTTTTATTTTAATTAGCCTAGTCCATCCAACCCGGATAGAACTTTATGCAGGCTAAGCCCAATCAAACCTAGATAGTTAAGGACGGGATGAGTATTCCAGTTAATTTGCTTAGGTGGAATTGGGCAGTTATTCGACTCTATTTAACCCATTCCAAACTGGCCATCAGCTTGTCTAAAACTGGATGATGTTCTGAAAATGACATGGTTAAAAAATTAATAGAAAATAACCCTGAAATTTCATCAGTTATTTAAAAGTTTTATTTTAAACAGCCTAGTTTAATACAACCCAGATACAAACTTTATGCGGCCTGTATAGCTCAATCCAACCCAGATACAAACTTTATGCAGCCTGTAAAGCCCAATCCAACCCAGATAGAAACAGCCCTATCAAACCTATATAGTTAAGAACAGGATGAGTATTCCAGTTAATTTTCTTGGGCAGGAATTGGCAGTTATTCGACTCTATTTAACCCGGACCAACCCGCCCATCAGCTTGTCTGATGCTTTTTTCATTTAGGTTATGATAAAGATTTTCATCATTTACTGTTCTTAGGATTTAGGGTAGTTCCCAAAGTTCCATTGCATTTGTGATTGTAAGGCTTAAGATTCGTTATTCCTTCCTCTCTCTTTGCGTTACAAAGCTGTGTTTCCATTTTAAACTTCTTACCGATTTGTTGTTTCTATTGCAAAATAGCTGAGTATAGGCTTGATTGTGAGATGGTTTATCGGACCAAGCAAAGCACTAAAGGTTTATGTTTGATGGCCTCGTTACGATATTATTGGATTTTCTTGTTTTTCTGTTCTATGAATTATTGGTTTTTAATGTGTATGTGAAATGAACTATCCTTTTTAGGTTTTATATCTTATTGTGCTTGTTGATGATCATGGTTTCAGAACGATGGCGCTGAGAGGTATTTGGCAGCTTCAGAAATTGATAGTGAGCTATTGTGACTGGGGTGGAAGTAGCAGGGGAATCAGGTATGTATTTGACATCAGTTATGGAAATTTTGATCATACAAACGCCCTCTGTTCTTGCATTTGTAGTTGGTGTTTTTCTAAATGTGCTTCCAGTAATATAAGTTTTAGCTAGGCTTTTTCCAAAAAAAATTCAACGGACTTGGTTAAAAGTTTATTGGAGAGAAGCAAACAAGTTTTAAACTTCTAGGTTTATGCTCTAAGTTTACTTTAGTGTTAAAAATAATATATTTCTCATGGATCACTCGCATTTTCTGCCTTAACCTGCAATATGACCTCATTTGGTTTCTAGTGTTGTCTTTACGCAACTTATCTATAATTGACATGATTTGTATTATAAGTTTTGCTTTTGCTTTTTCGCTTTCCTCTTGTCCTTGTGCATGTTTTCTCAAAGTTCTTTTGTGTAATCTTTCTGTCTGAGCTTTCATTCAAGTTTTCCCCACCATAAGATATAAGCGCTAAAAACAAAAAAAAGAATAAAAAAGGTTTTACCGGTTATCTTTCACCATTGTTGATTAAACTGGATTGTTGTTCTCCATCTAGTTTATTACCGGATTCTTGTCTCTGTTGTTGAAAGTTATTTCCATCAAATAAATATTAATGAATCATATTAAAAAAATAGTTAATCATATTTAGAAAGACCTCTCTGTTATGAATAATTATGTAAATTGTGAGTAATTTAGTTAATAGCTAGGTCTATGTAGATAATGACGCAACAGATTCTGGTTAATATATAACGTTAAATCAACTGTAAGTAAGAAAACATTGAATATGTTCAAGTGGTCATCAAAACTGTATTTTTTGGTTAAACTTATGATTTAAAATAGATTGTGTATCTGCCAAGACCTTATCAAGCCTAATACGATGTAAAGTCCTATCTAATACTGATGTTCTGCAACAACTACAACAAAGAAGGCCTTGGCAGTCGTCACTCTACATATATAAGATGGCTTGCATCTTTTCAGTCCTTAAATGTCTCTTTCTTGTTATTTTGTTGAATTAATAATGATTTTTGTTTCTTGTTTTGACTTCGGATTCATCATAGTGGAACAAAAATACAACCAAGGAACACCAATATCTAATGTAATAAGAGAAACCATGATGCACTGATGCTTTCTTAAATGCATACATGTTTTTGATTAAACACTATTTAAATTTTGGCTAGGAATAAAGGCATCTTACTATGCATTGGTCTAAATTCCTTACTAGTACAGGAATACTCTTTTCAATTTAATTAGTTTTTAAGGAATGCACCAATGGAATGACAGGGCATTCATGGAAACTCATTTGCCATCCTTTAAGGAAAAGAATCCTCAGCTGGAGGTTGTTACAGAACTTATCCGTGGTCAACATCCTCATTTGAAGGGTTACTACAGTAAGTTCCCCTGTTTTACTTGGTTAGATTAGCAGCGCAAGCAAGGTTGTGTTAATTGAAGCAGAGCAGCGTGATAAATGCAAGTCATGATTATTCTTTGCGAATTTTGAAATTCTTTGAGCAATCAAATACAAGTTGAAAGACATTTGAAATGATGCCTTATTTTTTGAGTTATGCGTGAATCTCTTGTTCTTATTTTCAATCTCGCCATAAACTATCCCTCTACCATACCGCTCGATCTGTTGTCATCAGTGCTCCTGTCACTATCTTTTCCATATTTGTTTGCCCCTTCCCCTCCATCTCTTTTTCAAAATCATCAGCATCGGTGCTCGCCTGCCTCATCTCTACTCACCACTGCTTCCACTCTCTTGCTTCACCGTCTCATTCCACTCTAAACTCGTCGCCATTGACCATGGCCTCCTTTTTTCTTTCCCTTACAATGACCTCTTGATTCCTGAGTAACAGCATCTCCACTTTCTTTTCATCTGGCTCGCCCACAGCCTCCCTCTCCTATGTCGTCCATTCTCTATTACATCCAAGCACTTTGCATTTGATAAAAAAAAAACCGATTTTGTCCGCTTCATCGTCTCTCTCACACTGCCCTCTTTCACGATCGACATACTTTTTATAGAATGTGCCAAACCTCTTCTTTTCTGATGGTGCTGGGAGGTTGCGTTGGATGCCGTTGTGCCGAACATAGTCGAATCTGATTAAGCATCCCATTGCACCCAATTGTATATGTTCATATATGCAATTGTAGCTTGCATGTATTTGTTAACTTCTAATATGCTGTCACGCTGCAGAGAACCATAATCAGCGTGTGATTTGCGTGAAGAATTTATCACCGGAAGAAATACTGTTACACTCAACTAGACTACGCAATGCTCTGGGTAGAAAGGTCATTAAGCTGCGGACAAGGCATGTGACTAAGCATCCCAGCGTTCAGGGAACTTGGAATACACAACTGAAGTTTTGATTGTTGATGCTTAAAAATTTTGGTGAATGTGCAAGTCGCATCCTTGTTGTTTTTTCTATGAATTCTTACCAGGAAATATATATCAGTTATATCCTTCAAAGTTAACGGCATTTAAGTTAACATATATTTTTCTGAGAAATTTGCTTGCAATTTTACAAATTTCTGCTATTTATTTATTTATTAGGATATTTTGATCAATTAAAACAAATTCATATACACATCACATACGTAAAATTCGAACTCAAGACCTCTTAATTGCTAGCTAAAGCTCTCAATCAACATACCAAAGTGATATGCATTGCTATTTATTTTTCACTTGCAATTCTTTCTCGCATTTAGGATGAGGCTTATCTTGGGTGATAGATCCATGTTTACATATTTATATATTTCAATTTTCATGAAGAGGAATAGCGAACTACTTCAACGTTCCATTCAGTAACTAGTTTGCATTTTAAGAGTATGCAATATTTTAACAAATCTGGGTTATTTTTCAAAGATTACTGATGCAACTAATGTTGTGCCCAAAAATTGATATTATTTTGGGTTTAGATCTAGTTCGAGAGGAAACTGACAAGTTGATTAACAAACCAGGCTGACTCGAGTCAAACTCAAATTGAAGAAGACAATGATTTAATAGAGCCAAGGCAAAATTAATCTGTGATGTTTATGTATGTGTATATGTGCATACAGGTGGTGAGCTGGTCGAAAGCTTTGTGGTGGATCAAGCAGTTTGTTCTAGATTCAAGTAATTTGTGGTTGGTTGGACCTCATAGGATTGGGTTGGCATCATCTTGGCCCCAATCGGAATATGGCGGTGGATCAACTGGATCTGCATGAATGTGCTGCGTCGATGATGCTAATGGACTGCGATAAATGTGGTGTAATACTTGAGTTCCTATTTATGGGGTCATGAGGGGTGAAATGAGCATTGATTTGAGCATGTGTCATGGATTTCTTGTCACACAACAAAACTTAAATCTAACAAGAGATCATCATCTAAAGTAGTAATAGTGAGGATTGTATCAACTGCTGTCTTTCCTTGTAGATCACAAAGGGTAGACACAGAATCAATTGGATTTTTTGCCTTTTGGGTTATCTTGGATTTCAACAAAGTTTTAAGTAGTTTTTTTTTCCTCATGCGCAGCATATGTTGATGTGTCAATGCGATAGAAATTTAATATGTTAATGGAAACATATTTGGTGATGCACAGGAGTGTGCGAATTATAGAGGAATTAAGTTAATGTGTCATACTTTAAAATTATGGGAGCGACTTATGGAGCATAGGTTGCGACGTGATACTAATGTTTCTCAAAATCAATTTGGATTCATGCCGTGTAGGTCTACTATGGAAGTCATACATTTATTGAGAGGTTTGATGGAGAAATATGGAGATAATGAGGATCTACATATGATATTTATTGATTTAGAGAAAGCATATGATAAAGTTTCAAGAGAAGTGCTATAGAGAGTTCTTGAAAAGAAAGGAGTTAATAATGCTTATAATTGTCACTTTTCCCTTAATAAGCTCGAAATTAGGTGACAAAGGCAATCTTAAAGAAGCCCAGGGAGAATCAATAGTAGCATTCAATTCGCCAGCATTTAAGTCGTTTCACTTCAAACATTTTTTTTAAAACAAAAATCATGTATTCAAGAAAAGAGGATTACAATCCCTGACCCCAACCACTGCAAAAACACAACAAAAAAACTCAAAACAAATAGCAGGATATAAGGCAATACAATGAGAGTGACAAAAATAATAATCGGACTCAGGAATGAAAGCGCACTACACCAGCCTCACGACCAGCCATGGACAATCCAAAGGTGAGAAGCCCGCAAAATCCAAGCACCCAAGCAATCCAAGTCAAGGTCAAAATCACCTCGGTTTCCAACCAACCGAGACAGCAAGGGGATGCTGGGGGCTTCCTCATCATTGTCGACAAAGCCTTCAGAAAACCACGTTGAATAGCAAGTATGAAATAACTAGAGTCTATTTCTTTTTACCTTTATTTCTATGCCTATTACCACCATTAGAAAGACTAAGATCAAGAAGCTTGACAGGCACAACTTCTTCCTCACACTCATCTAACGAAGAGGAGTCACTCAGAATGAGCCAATCATTTTGTACCAAAATAAAATTATTGACAGATTTAGCCAACTGAGACTTCAATTCACTATTTGACATAACCGTAATAGGAACATTAATAAAAGTAGATGAACCACTCGAACTACCATGGTTAACATGTGAAACCAAATTCGTACGGGCCAAAGAATAAATTGGAGAGACACCATAATTAACCAACACAGGATTTGCAAGCAAAAACCTCGAAATTATCCTCTACAGATAAATCTATCAGGCTTGGCACAAGACCCACACAAAAGAAGCTAGCCTTAAGATTAGTACCATAATTCTTATCACGAGCCTCACCAATCTGAGGAGCAGAAAGAGCAGGAACCAAAGGAGAAACCGAATCCCTCAAATACACCTCACTCCCCACCCGAAGGGTTGTGACAGGTAGGGAGGGCAACAAATTGTCAACAGCTATTCCCTCAGAGGCCAAAACCAATGGACAAGCATCACAGCCAGCATCCAATTCTACCACAGACACAACATTCGCTAAGGTATTACCTAAAGCAGGAGCCACCTGGGCACTAACACTAGCACTTTCCTCAACCACATGCACAACATGACACAAAAGAGGAGCCACTTGGGCATTAACACCATCACCTTCCTCCGCCACATGCACAACAGGACACAAATTAACCAGATCCACTCCAGGCAACGTACACGGAGCAGAAGAAGAAAAAGGAATGGATTTAGTCATAGAATTAAGCTAAGGATGCAAAATATGGCAATCTTCTTTCAATGCCCTAAGGAACCATAATGCATACAAAAATGAGGAATATAATAAAAAACTACCGATTGAATATAGCCGGAAACTATACTATATTAATTATGCTAACATCAATATAAAGGTCTGCACTTAATTTGTAGCATTGATCTAGTATAAGAATCATGCTGGAGGAAGATGATACTGTAAAGCGTATTATCCTACTGTTGATGATGCGTTTTGGATGTACTAATTGTGCACTCTATTTTTTTTTTTATGCAACCAATATATAATATGTACTTGTTACGCACTAAAAAAAAAGTACACTGTAAGCATAGCTGTGAAAAAAAATGTCATTAGGGGTGTCAATTTCGGGTTGTCGGAACTGATCCCGACCCTATTTGGGTTGATCCGAACCCGACCCATTTTTACAAACAGGTCAATTTGTTCAACCCGAAACCAACACGTCGGGTTTCCGGGTTGACTTGACCGACACAGATATACTAGATTTAGCTTAAGAAGCGTGTGAAAGCGACGAAAAAGCGTGAGAAAGGGAGAAAGTAGCGAGCTCCCATCGCTACTTCCGAATTTCAATTCAACAAGACGGCGAACTATTGTGACTTTCGATTCGACAAAAAGGAATGTCATCGAAGGAGGCGAAGAAGGCTTTTAGCGACACATTCAAAACCCTATCTCATGCCACACGAGCTCTTGTTACTACTTCACTCGTTCAAAACCCTACCTCACGCCACACGAGCTCCCGTCGCTACTTCTGATCCATTATGATGCCTGGCAGAGAATGTTGACGCTGACGGACGAGAGACGAAGACACAAGTTTCTGGGTCATTTTCGGGTTTCCGCGTCAACCAGACCGACCCTTTTTTCAAACTGGTTGATTTGTTGAACCCGAACCCAACCCATTTACGAAATGGGTTGAGCCTAATCCAAAAGTTTCAAGTTGTGTCAAATATTGACCCCCCTAATTGCCATGTAGCTCAATTTGATCAGTTGGTAAAGAGCTTAGGGTATTAATCAAGAGATATTGAGTTTGAAGCATGCATATTTGATATATGTGTAAGTTTCGTTTAATTTGCTCAAAAGTCCCCCCCACCAAAAAAAAAAAAAAAAACCCGTGCCACGATATTATGACCAAAAGTTTTGGTTAAGACCATGAGTGGATCCCCATATAGTCCAGGTCTATATGGAGGTTAATTTGGAATTTTGACCACCCTAAAAAAATTATTTTGCCCATCATTTAGGGAGAAAAAGAAGCATTGGGTTGAATACACTACAAAAAGGTAATGTACTTACTTTCTAATTTGTATAAAGCATGCATGAAACTTTATCCAATGAAAAAAGAGGTGCCTTATTATTTATAAGTTGGGTATAAAAGGAGTTCTTAGAAATAAGAGAAAAAAATTGTAATTTCTATACAAATAAATCTTTTTTTTTTTTGTTGGCTATTTTTTCAATTATTTTTTATTGCATTGCATTGAAATCCAATTATTTTTTATTAATTTATGATTTTATTTTATTTTATTGTTATTATTGTTGTTATTGTCTAATTAATTAAAATTTTGCATATTCTGAAAAAAGAAGTTGGATTCGCCCCTGGTTAAGATGAGCTTTGAACTTTGGATCTATTTTGAGATGAATGCAATACAAATTATTTATATTTTGCATTCATCTTAAAGTAAATTCAAGAGTTTTAAAGCCCATTTTGTGTATATTTTGATTAGGACATCCAAACATAATTTTTTTATACTTTTTTTTTTTCAATACATAGCCAGAATATTGCTAAGCATACATATTATTTACGTATATAGAGCTACTAATATTTTTGCTCCTAACAATTTTTCAAATTTCTTCAGAGAGAGAGAGAGAGACAAACTTAAGGGAAAATTCTATAAGATGGTGGTGAGACCTGTAATGCTTTATGGTACCGAATGTTGGCCATTAAAAAAGAAGCATAATACTAAGTTAAGTGTGGCAGAGATGAGGATTCTTAGGTGGATGAGTGGCTTGACCCTTAGAGATAGGATACAAAATGAGCATATACATGAAAAGGTTGGAGTAGCTCTAGTGGAAGATAAGATTAGAGAGAGTCGCCTTAGATGGTTTGGTCACATTAAACAGAGGCCTTCCGATGACCCGGTTAGGAAAGTTGAGGTATTATATTTGACTTATGTTAAAAAGGTAGAGGTAGAACTAAAAAGACTTGGTTAGAAAATATTAGAATGATCTTTCTTTATTAGATTTAAATGAGAATTTGACTTTTAACCGGACACAATGTCGAAAAAGGATGGCAAAAAATGATTCGT